ATATGCAAGTTATTATCATCTACCTTTTAATTCCTGTGGGTCTGCTTCTGCAAAGCACCCACCTGTATGGTACCAAGAACCCCAAGAAAGTGCCAGGACTACTCCAAAAAGAATGAGGTGGGCAAGCACAAAGCAACTTGTTCAAGAGTTCATTAAGCCAGTGACAGACTTTGGCTTTCTTAATCTTCACCTGGTGTACTACATCCCCACCCTTGATTTCTCAGTGCATCCCACAGACAGCCCAATTCAACTGAGAGAGTCAGTACTGACCAGCTCCCACAGAGCTCAGTGAAAATTCTGCCACAATTTCTGCAAAACTTGCAATTTAGGTTTTTGCCAGTCAAAGCTGGCACATTTCCTATGCGAGTGTCATAGCACAACTGCTTCATTCATAACAGCACTTGCAGTTCGAGTTGTAACACATAATGCTGTGCAACATCCAGGTACTTCAGCCACCTGGAATAAACCCTTTCACATTGAACATTCCCTCTCTACATGCTCCAGCTGAAGTCAGATGTTCTCTTCTTGACCTCAGTACCTACGTTTGTTTTGGTTTTTTCTTTTTTCTATTTTGAAATTCTTAAAATTAAAGTGCAAGGGTTTGCTCTTTTAAAGGGGAAAATAGGCTGGAGGGAGTGAAATACCCTTTCCTTTTAATGATCTGCTGCTCAGCCGGCTGAGACAAAGTTGGATATGATGTCAGATTCCTGGTGCTTTAACACAACAGGGCTGTTTCCCCTAAGTATTTCTCTAACTAAGCACAACTCAAAGGTTTCCTTCTCCAGCAAACACCTGAGCAGAAATGACTCACCCATGGTGTTGGCAACTGGCACAGAACTCTCAGCCTTAGTGCCAAGCCTACTTATATTGTTGAAATTCTGAGAGGAGAATTTTCCTTCTGTGACTTCCAAAAAGGTTTGTCCATCTGTATTTTGCAGAAAAAATTACCTTTATGCCTCTTTTGGTCAAGGGTCGGGGGTTGGAGTGGGTGAGAGATGAGTCAGGGTAAGGCGTATTTGTAACACCAGCCATACAGCAAAGTCAGTGCTTCGTGAGCTTGAGAAAATATAAGGCATCTATCTCTAATCAAATCACTTCTTATTTCTTCTGCCTGACTTCCTTCAAAAATAATGCATGTATGATCATGGTGTGCATGAGCATGCATCTCATAACTTTTGAATGAGTTGGTTGCTTTCAGCTCAATTTGATAGAGAGACAGGAGTTTCACAGCTGTCATGTTGCCACAAGTTTCATGAAAATAGGCAACTGGATAAAAAAAGAGAGTTCTAGAGGCTGGAAAGCTGCAGCATGAGTTCACCCAGTGTTGGGCACCAGAAAATGACACTGTAAGGGCACTGACACATGGAATAGCCTCAATGGAAGGTTACAAGCCTCAGTATACCAAGTACTACCTAAATATTTATGTTGAAGGACATTGTAACAAAAGTCAACAGTCAAAAAAAGGAATGGCCTTCAAGATACAGCATTCAAAAGAGCAGACAAGACAGCTAAATACTTCAAAGGAAGCCTACAAGCAAAAGTACTATTAATTTTAACTAAATCCTGGGCCAGACACTCCTCTTACACCCATGTAACCATTAATTTCAGAGGAGTGACTTCTGATATACCCCACGGTAAGCCCCAGATCATACAAATCCTCTCTTTATTGCCTGAGTAGTGCCATTTAAAATCAATAGGATTACTCATAGTGGTAAAGTTAAGCACCTGTGAAAGTGTTTGCAAGATTGAGGCCTAAGGCCTGGTCTAGGCACAGCTTTTGTACTTGAAGAACTGGTTCACTTAAAGGTTTGTTTTGTTTTTGGTTTTATTTTTAAAGAAAACAACAGAATAATTAAAACCATACAACCACTTTAAAGTGGACACGTTTTTATTACTGTAACGGGAACTTCCAACAGCACAGCCATTCCCAGGTCAGCTACGCGGCTCCAACTGCACTCACACTGCAGGCAGTTGTGTCAATGCCATTAAGAGCAGCCCCAACTTTTGCACCTTGAGCATCTCAACAAGGAGATGCCAGCCCATGATGTCTACTCAAAGCTCTCCAGGTAATTAATCCATGGAAAACATCTGATGGAACAAGCAACATGGGCAAACCCATGTTTGAAGAACATTTGGTCTGGATTGTGACTGAATGTAGTATTTTCCACCACCACCACTGCCTCCCCCCCCCCCCCCCCCCCAATTTTTTTCATATCCTGTGAGTGTGCACCCACAGGGGAAAAAAAAAAAAGAGCAACACACCTACAAAATTTTAGAGCTTAGAAATTCATGTGTGCAGAATTAAGGAAGGTGGAAAAGGTCAAGATTGCCTCACAAGAAAACAACAAAAAGGAGTGTCCATTCTAAGGAAAAGATCCCCAAACTTTAGGAGATGCTAGGAGGAAGAGGGGGTGGAATAGTGAACTAACATGTTTGGATTACTAAGAGGTTAAAAAAATGGTCACACTTTCAAAGAAGAAGAAAAAGACAAAAGACATTAAGAGTAAACAGGAAATTTGGGAAATCTATTTCACTCAAAGTAGCAAACATCTGGAATAAATTGTCAAGAACTTAAGACCATCAAAGCAAAGTATTAATGAAGTTAAGAGGCAGCTAGACTAGAGGAGGAGACTGAAGAATACAGTGACAAAGGAGAAAGGTGGAGCTGAGATAAACCTAGAGGCAACAGGTTCATTAGCCTAAAGGGCTTTGTTTCTCTCTCTGCCCAATACTTCCTTATCTTCTCATTGCTCCAGGGTTAATTTTTTTTTCCCTGCTGCTTTTTGGTTTATGGAAAGGAAACAATACTTTTTTTCTCCCCCCCCTAGGAATTCATTGCTGGGATCTGTGACATGGTACTTCATTGTTAAGCCTCCGAATTTCTAAGTTTAACTCAGAAAAGTACAAGAAAACTGAATACGCGCTACTCTTTCCACCAAGCAGAACTTTCTGAAGTCTGGAGTCCTCCTCATTCCTCCTGTTCACTCTTCAAATTAAGAATAGTTCTTACTTTTGTTACAGAATGTTTCTTAAAGAAGAAAAACCTCATCCCTTTAAGCAAAAGGATTTAGTAAACATCTCCATAGATTCACCAGCTGGTTTTTAAAACACTCATTTGTTTTAAAGTAATTCAAACCAGACTAAACAACACCTTTAAAGATGACAAAAAGCAGTAGGCATAAATGAATAAGGAGTCTAAGAAGGAAATACTTAGCATGACTTATCCCTTAATATCCAGATCCCTCTCTAGAAGGGATAATCAGAAAGCTATGTTGGCCCTTATTCAAAAGAAGAGAACGGTCTTCCATCTCTGCCCGGACTGTTATTAACTATATTGGTTACATTCATGGTCATTAACATCCTCTAAAAGATGATCTTGGGATTTCATTTTCCACCTCCCGTTATTGAGCAATGGAATATTCATAAAACAGTAGACGGAAACAACTCTGAAGAAAAAGAAAAGAAAGCCTCCAAGTTCCCATCTCTGCCAGTTTAATTTAACTAAACTGAGGATTCAACATGAAATTGATTCAGGAGCAGCAGTATATATGCACACACATTAAAAAGCACACTGGGGGGGATATAGAATAATAAAACATGCGCTTGCCTGTCCTCTGCTCTAATAATCACATGCAAACTTCAGCCAAGCCTGACAGAGTGGGAGAGGTTTCAAAGATATGAAGTTCCTGTGGGTTTCACAGTACAGGCAGCTGGGTAAAGGATGAAGATGCGCTTAAGAGCCCCACTGAAGTACTTACTAGACGTTAGAGAATCCACACCAGCCTTGTCTACTAGCACAGGGCCCGCTCATGCTGTTTGTTATCAGCCAAGGAGCCACAGCTAAGGAGTCAAAGTTTTATTGGAAACATCTGCTCTTGTCTTTGCAAAAGGCAGCTGAAGCTCTGCTTCAACCTCAACCACTTCTCCCTCAGCTCTTCCCAAATCCCTATCGGCACCTTTCCGGTCCAAGGGGAGCCAACAGGGCTGGCGTGGGGCTGCCCAGCGCTGGCACTCGCTGACAGAGAGCCCCATGCTGCCCCACAGCACCGAGGGTTCGCTTTTAACCCAAAGCAAAAGAAATATGCCTCGGTACTTGCAAGGAACAATGAGTTAGATCAGAAGAGTTTTGAATGGCTGAATGCATTTAGGTTACCCAAATCTGCTGGTGAATGTAGCCACCAACTAACATAGTGTTCATGAGAGGAGGGGTGTCTCCTTCAGGAGCCAGTTCGGACCTAGTTCCTCACTTCAGAGGTCTGAAGTATCCTCTGGGCCATCACTCACTAGATTGACTATAAAGAAAGCACCAAACCCCTATTCCTCGCTTCAGCACTTCAACAAAATAACATAAATACCCGCAGCATTTAAACTGGCCAAGGCCTCTTATTTTTCTTCCAGTTCTAACATGGAGAATCAATGATAGAGGGGCTTTGAGTCACTCCATTCCATTTTTCTCCACTGTTTTTACCTTCCCATTAAAACATAACTAGAGGGAGCCATCTGGAAAAAAAAAAAAAAAAAACAGGATTAAAAGTTTGCTCCATCAGCCAGGTATGCGGACAGGCAATCTGGCCAGACCCTGCCAGTGAGAGCCCGCTGCCCAGCACCTCCGTCCCCAGGGTTTAACTGATACCAGCCTGATACATGCAGGCACAAAACACAGGAGATTTTTAATACTAAAAGCAAGCAGCTGTTTTTTCAGTGTCTGAGGGGTACTTTAATGAGCATACTGTGTTGTAGTGGCTGGAAAAAGGTGATAAGCTTTATATGTTATATGAAAAGCCGGGGTTACTTTATGTAATCAGACACAGCTGACTAAACAGGGCACTGAAAGTCATTCACAGTCAAAGTAAGACAAAACAAAACAAGAAAACCCCCACAACCTTCCCGTCCCACCTCCCTCCAAGAACCGGTTCCCCAGGCACAAGCCTAGGGTTGATCTGAGGCCTCAAAAACCCTAATTAATATGCTGCTTGGAAAAAAAAAAAAACCCGGCTTACCTTGGCGTGCCGAGGCCTCGCCTCCACGTCGGTCGTGCAGGAGCAGGGGCAGGAGGGCCGGGCTGCGCGTGGATGTGGAGCAGCCCCCGTGGGTGAGCCCAGCAGCCTCCCCTCATGGCAGCGGTTCCCGGGGGCAGAGGGGAGCCCCTCAGCACTGATCGGAGAGGGGGGGGGGGGGGGGGGGGGGGGCCCTCAGAGCCGCCATTCCAGCCCCACGCAGGTTTCGGGAAGGCTCCAGGTGCCAGCCGTGCTCAGGGAAGGGCCCCCAACGGCTGAGCTCTGCTGGTGGCTGCCGCGCTACGCGGGAAGGCCAAACCCCGCCGGCATTTGCAGAGCGGGGCTGCTGCAGCCGCCGCGATTCCCCGGCCCGGCCGGGGCCGAGGGAGAGCCCGGCTCCCGGTGCCCAGCCACGGCACTGCCAGCAGCCGGGGGCCCAGGGCCTGCCCCACGCGAGCTAGTACACTCGCGTCTGTGTGTTTAACCCAGGAGCAAAACTAAACTTCCCCATCTTTTCCAGGAAAAACAGGGCAGCGCGCAGTGTTTCGGCATTACCTGCGTGCTGCTGTTTGTACAAACTTGGGTGAACTGTAGCACCAATTTGAAAAGAAATAACTGATACTTCCTTAAGGCTTTTCGCAATTCCAGACAAAATAGGGGTACTTGTACTGCTTCAGCACTTGATTCACACAGTATTGTTTTTCCAAGCATTAAATTCTGTCACAGCCTTTACACTCTCAGCCCAGTTGGGGAGGGCAGAGATCCTTGCTGAAACTAGCTAATTCCTGTTCTACAAATAACTTTCTGGCTGCTATTTAAACTACATCCTTTTTACATAAGATATCTTAAAGGCACTAGCTTACTACTAAATTCATGGAGATTTATCTCTTTCTGGCCTGTTAGAGGAAGTCCCCTACCCCACTGTCTAGCAATGAATTTTCTACTCATCACAGCAGTGGTGGTACTTGCAGCTTCCAAAACTTAAAGGGATGAGGTAGAAGTGAAGTTACCTTCCATCCTCTCCAGTTTTCTGTAAAGAAACTTCTTTTTGAACCACGTGATCCTGTGGCACACTGAGCAACACCAGTTTACAGTGACCTGTGGGTAGGTTCATGCAGGAGGCCAAAACCCGTACAAAGCAGGAATCAAGAGCCTTTCAGTAACACTGTGCAAGCCCGCTAGAGAGCCAGCTTCCCCCCTTCCCAGCTGCGGAGTGGGACGTGGTTTATCTGTACCGTACAGGTATATACAAACTGGCTGCTGCTTGAGCTTGGTGACTAGCATTCACAGCTATCCAAATAACCACATTTCTTCTCTAGAGATGGATTTTTTTGGATGCTCTCCGATAATAAAGAAGAGAAAAGCTCTAACACCTGCAGCAAATACCTGACCAAGCCTATCAGGATATTTGCTGGGAGTCAGATTGCATGTACAGTTTTATAGAATCAGCATTTAGGAAGACAGCGCAGCCAACAGATACTGGTCAACAGAAAGCATGACTGATCTTGACTTTCCCTACTTGCTCCGTGACCTCAGCCGAGATGGTTGTGACCTTACTTTTTTCCTTCAGTCCTCTCCCTGCTTGGATCTCCTTTCACTTGTGTGCGTAAGTTCTCTTATCCCATGGAAGGGCAACAACTACTGTCTTCTAATCATTATAACATAAAATGTCTGACCAGCCTAGCATCTGAGCTCTGTATTCCTCCTGAAGCAGCTGACCAACAACTGAGCTTGCTAGTATATTTTGCAAAAATAAAATATGTTGCTCAGGTCAAAAGGCACATTAATCAATCATTTAAACTGAAAAGGACAGTAACAAATGGCAACATTTCCCCAGATAAGGTCTTAAGGATGTATTGCCATACTTGACCTTAAATACCTGAGTTAGCATTCCTAAGCCCCTGCTTTATAATCAGCAGAGTCAGACAGATGCTTGCAGAAGCTGAATCAGAGGAGAGATGAGCTTAAGTGCCCTGAAATGCCTATTCAAGGACCTCTCTCCCTTCAATTACTGAAGAGAAGTCCTGCAGAGATAAGCCTCCTTGAATATACACTAGATTTAAGTGGTCAAAGTTAAGTCAATACACATGAGAATCCCTCAAGTTATATAACTCTAACAAAATTTTCCAGGTTTTGCACATCAGAAAAGTTATTTCAAATACTGTGCCCACATATGCCTCAAGAATCCAAAGTCTGGCTCCTTCAATGTGAAATCTCTTTTATGCCTTCCGAAGTCCTGAGTTTGGAATGGGGCATAATAGTATATTGAAAGCCAAGGGACCTCAGATGCTGCAAGTGTACAGACAGTTCTGCACAGCATCAACATGCTCAAAGCAGCACTGGCTAGAACAAGTGTATTCAATTGGATTTGGGATATCTACGGTGATGGAGACTCCGCGACCTATCTGGGCAACCTGTTCCAATATTTGGCCACCATCACAGTTAAAAAATATAAATGGAATTTCTTGCTTTTTCATTTGTTCCCATTGCCTCTCATCCTGCCAATGGACATCACTGGGATGAGTATGGATTTGTTGTACTCAGTCCCATCATCCAGATCATTAATAAAAATGTTGAACAGTTTTGGAATTGTATTTTCACATAGAAAACTTATGCTTCAGACAATCTGCACCTTTTTAACATTAGTGAAAATTCAAGGTATGTCCTTAGATAACTCATGCTGGCACATTACCAAAGTAACAGAGGAAGCGGGAAATCAGATCTAAGAAAGTTTCTGGGATAGATAGAACAGGCTACAGGGGGATCAGAAGCAAGCAGTTACTAAAAAAGAGAGGCCTGGGAATAAACTTTTACCCACATTGCCTAGAAACATACATAACCTTCACAGCTGCCAAATCATCGGAAGGGTGGAGGGGTGGGGAGGGGGGAGGTTGGTTGGTTTGGTTTTTTTACAGACAACCAATCTCCAAAATAATTATTCCATTCTGACTGGTGCTGGACTTCTGTGTCCAAGCTGGCATACCATGTTTTACGAAAAATATGCACAAATTTAAGGTAATCCTAAAGAGAGCAAGGAGAATTAGAAGTATAGAAAAGATCGCTGAGAGGAAAAGTTGAAAAAAAGAATGTTAAAAAAAGAAAACTAAACAGTCTTCCAGTGTGCTAACGTTCATTACAAAGAGGATGCAAAGGATGAAAGTGGCTTAATTTGCAGACAGAAAGATTTAGGTTAGATGGTAGGGGGAAAAAAATGCATAAATACAAGGCTAGCTTTGGACTTGAGGCTACCTAGAAAGTTTAGACAGGTCAGACAAACATTTCTAACAACAATCCTGCCTCCAAGCAGAACAACAAGCTGGGGGAAACTCATGAGAACCTTTCTCTGCCTTTTATGACAGTATATTTCAAAGGCTGCCCTACGCATTCACAAGGTTTCAGAAAGGTTTACAGGATTAAACGTTTAAGAGTTAATAAAACACATTATCAATTCTACACTGTTTCTTTGTTTTTTCCCATCCAAATAGTAATTGTTTGTGAAAGGGCTGACACTAAAGAGCAACTGCCAGGGTTCATGCAAGTTCAATTCCCATCTGATCATTTTAATGATGCTTGGTGAGAATCTGTTTTTGTGGAATTAATCTCAGCTCTTTGTTCCCTTCAGTTATTTGAATCTGCATCCAAAACCCATAAGCACAGCCCTATGTCCCCAAATGAAATTGGAGATTTAAATTAAATTGGGACTGATACAGGCTTGTTCGAAGAATCTTTAATATTTTGATGACATTTATCTGAATATCTGTCCTTTCCCCTTATGGAAGGGGAGAGTTAGAGCTCCAAGTTCTCTTGCATGATGGTCTAAGAGACCAAGGTGCAGAAGTCCATATGAGCAACAAGCTTGGTGATGTAGCCCAGCCCAAAGATCTCTTCAAGCAGTCTGTAATAGGTGTCTGCTGCACTGCCCTTGAAGTGCAGTAATTCCAGGGCAACAGACGGGGGGGGGAAGGAGAAATTAATTATGAGCAGAGAAAATTGCACCAATGTGGAAGCAGTGGAACTGCAAAAAACCTGAGGGCAAATAGGAAGGGTCAGTTGGAACTTGGGGCTTTATATAGCTCACAGACCACTTCAGAGGGTCATGAGAGCACTCTGGTAGTACATGAACGTTTGGTAGCCGCTGGAGGACCTCCTAGCCTGCACCATGGTTTGGTCCCCATCAGGAACTGGAGAGAATTTGGACTGGATTTCAAGCAGAGCCTCTGGTTTAGCTTCCTGCAGAAAAGCTACCTAGGTTGCTCAAGGTAAGCAGGAGCAATCAAGTGATTTGCTTCAAAATCATACTGCTCCAAAACAAATTGCTCTTCTAGACAAAGCCTACCTCAACCTAATCTGTACTAAGGTGGTCCTATTTTCCATCTTCCCTACAGTTCCTAAGGAACAGGGATCCTATAGCAGGGCATGGTAACATGACCAGAAAGAAAGTGGCCTCACCAATATCCAAGCAAGGCAAGCCCAAGTCAGCTTCAAGAGTCCAGATCACCAGACAAATCTATGAAGATGAGGCAGGTTCAAAATCAAGCTGAAAACCCAAGCTGCAGGTTACATCCAATAACAATTACTAGAGTCAAGCACAATTCAGGGGTTGCTAGGCAGTGATATGGAAAACTCAAGAAGTAGTGTAGACCCAGGAGTGTAACTTAAGAAAGGTTTGAAGGCCCTGGGCTGAGTTTAAATGGGGCTCTTGGGCCCACAGATAGCAGGTGTGGGTGGGGGTTCCAGATGGGACTTATTAAGGTCTATTGGTGCACTCAGGGCCCTGACAGTTGCAGACAGGCAAGAAAATTTAGGGAACTGATGTGATTGAAGAGCAAGGAGGTTTCATCTTCTGATGTGTGTGTATGAGCTCTAGTGCTGACCTGAGGGAGGGACAGGGTGCAGCCGGGGAAAGGGGAGAATGTGGAACCACTTAAACTAGACTTCCATCAGTCTAAGATGCCACAGAGCTGCACTTGAAGAAGTCATGTAACTAGGCAGTAACAGATGAAAAAGGGCCCATCAATAAGTGTGCATGCTTTGATGGAAAAATATGACCTCATCTTTCAAGAGCATTATTCTCAAAGTTTTTACCTACCAGCTTGCATGAGGAAAAATAAACCTTTCTAGATTTAAGGCCAAAGGTATGCATGTATGCCATTTTATATAGTCTTCAGTCTCATTCTGAAATCTTTAAACAGTGTAAAAACCATAAGCACAATCTAACATCTGATGCCTGACTGACTTCAGCTCATATTAGTGGAACAGTCAGTACTCATTTAGTTGGGTATGTGATTTTGTGGAGCTCATATAAGGTAGTATTAGACTTTGCACATGTGTTCGTGCCATACAAGAGCATTTTACAGACCTGCCACTCAAGCAATTTCCAGATGAAGTCTGTAAATGAAGCATTCATTTTTCAGCCCTCTCCTATAAGCAGCTCCTTTTTTTGCAGAGAAGTGTTGTCACTTGTTTGAGTCTGCATAAGAATGTAAAGCAGAAGCTCTTAAATCATCTTTTCTACTGTGCCACCAAAAATCCTCTACTTCCATGACCTCCCATTGCTTATCTACAACCCCATCCCATAAGCAGTGGTCATACAACTATGAAGAAAAACACATTCTGGGGAGAAAAGAGCCATCATGTGGAACAGAGGTGAGAATGGTGCTTGTACAGGAAAGTTCAGCTTCTGGTGAATAAGCCATGAGGTGGAAAAAGAGGTCATGTACATTCTTGCATTGTATGAAGTTTTACTAGTTCCCAAATCCCAGTCAAGCTGCATACCTTGTTGGGAGGGACGGGTCTGGGTGACCATGCAATTGTTTCAAACGTTGCAGGAACATACAGCAAGAAGTGCTAAAGCCCTCTCCACATCTTCAGCAAGATTCATGCAAGAAAGGGCTGCATTTTGCTTCTAGCTGTGTCCACTAATATTTTTAAGAGAGATAATTACTGGTAGATACAATTGGGAATTGCCTACTTATACTAGAAAAACATTACTGTTACAGGAATATGCACAGTACTTCTGGACATAGGGGCAAGGTATGAGATTATTTATTGTATCAACTTTGTGTCTGCTAAGTGCCTTCTCATTCCAGTTGTTCTATAATACTAAAGTGCACCAAGTGCAGGGTTTTGCAGGAACAATAAAAAGTGCAGGTGGGGATGAATGCCACATTTCCAAGTCATACAGATGCTAAAGCTTTTTCATGTAATTTCTGCCCCTCCTGATGAGGGCAGAATTTGACACCTTGCCTTCAAGTTCTCTTTCTACAAAGACTAAGATGGAAACAGAAATTAAGTGGCTTGTTACTTCATCTCAATGTGTATGGGACTGTGGTGCCAACAACACTGATGCAAAAGGAAACCATTTTCATTAGTTATTAAAACAGCAGAAGCTTGTTTCACTTTGGCTGCAACATCCCTCTGACTCCCACGCAGGAAGTATTCATGCAATATTCCACATAGGCAGAATATGTCCAGTTCCTAGAAGTCCAAATACAAAAAACTGTAGCCCATTTCAGAAAGTACGTTGATCTTGAATTATAAAAGTTAGAGGTAGTCTGCTTCCATGTGCAACCCTGGGCTACAGTTCCTGTTAGTTTCTTGTCTTTGTCCCTAGACTTTTGATGATTTTTGGTAAAACAAATCTCTCCAGTGTGTGCCTCATCTGTAAAATGAGGCTAATGACCAACAGGTAAAAGACTAGGCACTACTGTTATTTCACGGACAACCTCTTACACATAATAAAGGTACCTCTGAAGGGGGAAATTCGCTATTATTGGTTTCTAAGTGCGCCTAGGTAAATTTTACTATGAGAAAAATAGCCAGTATTCCCCTATTTCTGTTCTTTTGCACCAAAGCAAATGAGTCAAGTGGCTTATGAAACTAGCCACATCACTGAGACAGAGAGGGCATATTGTATATTCACAAGAGCTTAAGACTGTTTTATTTACACTTTCATTGTTAGGGGCTATGAAATGGAACAGAATTCTATTTACCAAATACTCTTCCTGGTGCAATAAGTTAGAGGATTTCTCAATTAATACATGGAGCTTATGTATAAAAGACAAGAGGTTAAGCAACACTGCAGTGCCCAATGGACCATCTGGTGAACATTAGGATTGTCAATAAATCACGAAAGCACCAGTTCATCAAGAAAATTCCATTTCAAACCACTGACAGAAAAAAAAAAAAAAAAAAAGGATGGGAAAAAACTCACAAAATTGGTATTTTCATCTTTTATAAAAACAGGAGCATTAAATAACTTTAATCTAATTTCAATTGTTTTATTGGTTCTCTTCTGATGACCGCATGGCTTCACATACTGGATGTTTAGCCCTTTGTCTTGCACACAAAAGCATTATGAAATAACTTTGTGCATCATCACAGAAGCAGCTCATCTCTTTCCTCTCAGTCTTTTTCTTCACCGTGGGTGATAACGTAACAGAGGTTCTTATAGTCAAGATTACCAGAGACATCTGGAGGGAAAGCAGCAAACATCTGTTTGATCTGCCAAGCAAACAGGAGATAAGTGTTAAAAACATGGGACTGTGGGACAGCAACAGGTACTGCTTCTCATTTTCAACCCAGTTCAGCTCCCTTCTGCCTTGATCCATTAACCACTATGGAAAATTTTTTCTTAGCTTTGGTAAAATTGAAATAGGAATTAGGACACAACTAGTTAATACAGTCCTGCTAGAATCCCAACAAGTTCCCTGTTGAAAAGAGCTCTCCCTGAAATCCAGGTAAGCCCTGGCCAACTAATGTACTACAGTGTGGACTCCAGTCTGTTCTTGCCACAAACCAACTCCACTCAATCTCCTCTTCTGAAAATAAAGTCCTTCTAAATTCCTCCCAGCCAGCAGAATCCATGTTCAGTCTCACATAAACCACAAAGTCAGTACCTCATTTCAAAACTCATTTCAGATTTCAAACAAAATAACTCTCACAGAAGTGGAAACCAGATCACAGTCCCCACCCAAACCCACTTGAACTCTAGTAAATTCATTGCCCAGCTCGCCATAGGAAAGAACAGCAAGAGATAGGCCATGCTTACACTTGGATGGAAGTCCAAAGAATCTGTTTGACTCTCATTTAGCCGTGGAACTATTCAGATGAGATGCATTGAATTGTTCCTAATTGCTAGGGCTGGCATCAACCTTCTCTCAGTCTCAATTTCAGTTGAATTAATGCACTTAAATAGGGGCAAATGTTTATTGCTGAATAGTAGATGGCGATAGATTCCTATTTTGAATAAAGAAGGTCCTTACCTCTTCTTGACTGAACCGGTCTGCCTGTGTCATAAGCATTTCTTTGATGCTGTTCAAATAAAATGAAATAACCTGATTAAAGGGTGATAATGGCACATGACAATTCAGATGGCAAGATCCCTCCTGAAGTTGCATGAAAGAAAATCTGTGTGACCGCATAAATTAGAGTTGTTAATCCTTACACGATATTGTAAGAGATTTTCTGTGGGCACCCATCAGTGTCAATGCCTCGCTCTGCCAACTTATTTTGCTTTTGTGACATTTTATAGAGGTTTAAAACTGTTTAAGGTTATTACTCTAATTGAAATACAGCAATTTTGTATGCTTATCTTAACCTAAAATGGTAGGTTTCCTCACTTGCTGTTTAAAGTTTGGATCACTTAACAAAACCAAAAGAGAGAATATTTTCTGTAAAATCTGAGGATGAAAGGAACAGAGCATGAAATGAGAAAGAGGACTTGAAAGAGAACTCCAACAGCTATTCCGAATCATCATCTGAGAATCCCTTTATTTGCATGTAGTCATTCCCAGAGGAGACTGTGAAACTGCATGAGACCTGTTGTATTTCACGGTACAATGTCTTGATCTGGAGTTACAGCACTGTAACAAGGAGCTTATCCCACACACAATCTGCATCCTATGCAATTACATCAAAGCAAATATTTTTGGGACCGACTCTCAGCTGATTTACCCTCTGTTTTCAAACCCAGTGTGGGAAGTCAGTTGAGCATGTAATTTTTTTACCTAAGTTTATAGGTGAATAGAAAAGCCAGAAAGAATGATTACTCTTTCTAGCCTAGCCCCTTTAGACAAAATGTCTGTATTTCACTCAGCTACTCACGTGCTGAGGGCAGTACATGCACAGTGTGCTACAACATTCACCAGTATGAACACAGTTAGATCACATAAACATCCCTTTCACTTGCACTAATCATTTCCCCTTCCTGTAGAAGAATTCCTATACTAATCTCAGAGTTTGCGTTTACACTGAAGAGGCAGAGTTGTCTCCTTTTGTTACTGTCAAAGGTATTTATACATTATTGGGATTTTTTCTAAATCAGTAAAACAAACTATAAACCTGTGATAATAGAGAACAATCTGTTGTACAAAACCAAAAGCTGAAACAAGTATAGAAATCTGTTTTAGTTTGTAGACTTGAAAAAAAAGGCTGCTTTTTTGAAGAATCTGCACTGGGGGAGTGAGAGCAATAGCTCTTCTGAAAACAACTCTTTCTGTTTTTTAAAGTGAATATTTGAAATGAACTATTTATAATAGAAATCATGCCTGCACAGGAACACTTCCATATGAGCAAAATTCACGTTCTCTGGATGCAGATGTTCGGGCAAAATAGTAAAACTTCCCTTTCTGCTCCCATAAGCTATGCATCTCGAGTGAAAAAAGTCACACAGATAGAACTGTAGTTTTGATGGCAAAGCTACAACTGTACTTCCTCGTATCTCTGACACACATCTTTTTTTCCAGTAAAAGGCTACAACACCGACATATCCCAACTTGCGCAAGAGGCATATGCACTTGTAAGTCTCTTTCTTGTTGGGAAGTGCTCATTTGGAAGGACAGAAAAGGAAAACTGAAAAAAGAAGTTTCTGGGTAATGAATAAGAATCTTACCTACAAGAACAAGAGTGCAAATATCCATGCAAGTTTTGGGAAATACTCTGAAGTCACAGATAGAGCCTAAGGTATTGTATATATTTCTCCTGCATCACTTTACCATTCTCTTTACTATCAAAGTCTTCATCTCTTTCTCTCGTATTGCTGTTTCTGTTTTGTTATCCTAGCCATTTGTTATGTGACTGCATTTTTTGAAGAGGAATTCTCAATTGATCAGTGGGTGCAAGTGTAGAGAGATTATTCTAAACATCATAAATTGATTATTGGATATATGTGCACCGGTGCAAACAGCATTAGCAAACGTAAATAGGAAGTGTGATACAGGAAGGAGCTTGGTGAATAGAAGGAAGCACTTACAGCAATTTTGTCAGAAGTCACAAATAAACTTAATTAGCAAACAGGACTGAATTAAAAAGAGATCTGGGCACTATATGTCTTCTAATCACATGCTTAAGGTATTTAGGGGAAAAGATCAAATATCTAATTATAATCTTCTGATGCACAGCCTGGCATACTCATAAGGAAGAAGGACAGAGTTAAGTATCTATGCACATTTTCCATTATTTAATTTATAGGGAAACGAACAGTCACAATTTCCAAAGCTAGAGATTATGCACTTTTTTCTTTTTGTATCTTGTTTTCTTTTTTAAAGACTATTTCCTTCTCAAAAAAAAAAAAAAAAAAGTCTTCTGTGCAAAAAAGAATATCCATTTGCCTTGACGTAAGAGTCTAAATGTTATCTCTCATCCTGGCTGATATCAGTTCGTTGTACAATTACAAATACTTTGTTGCATTCTTATATTTTCAAAACCTTTTTTTAAATTCTCTGTGAAATCTTTGGGACATTTTGGTTTTCCGCTGGGTTTGCCCTTTCTGCAGTGCTGTCTTGGAGAAAAGCAGGTGAGTTGAAATGAGCAGTGCTCTACAACTATGATGAGAAACAGCATTAGCTCAGCCCAACTAATCTCCAAAGGTCCAGAATGCATGTGAACTCCCTGGGTCCATTTTCATCTTGTACAAATCGGAAAAGTTTTGTTGGCATTAGCATTAGACACAGTTGATGTTGGCCTGACTCATTTTGTCCAATAAATGGCATTTAAGGACTGAATCATCCAACCTTTCCAAAGTCTATGCCAGTTTACACCAGCTGAGAATGTGACCTAAAGCATTTTCTCTTTTTGACATCATGCTATAGGAAGGATTTTATGTGTGGTATAACGATGCAGACAAACAAAGTCTGTCATTGAATTTGGAAGTAAGTTGTAAACTCCTGGAGCTTCTGGAAAGGTTAGAGGACTCCATCCCAGCTACCATGAGATGGACTAAGTGAGTCATTTCCAGACTAGAGGTGAAAACATGCAGAGGGAAGAGACATAAAAATCCCCAGAAGGATGTTAACTCCATGAACATAAAAAGAAGTTCTGATTAAAAGGTCAACATGGCTGGTTTTGGAGAGAAGCATTCCAGGATTTTTTAATATGGAGAAATATTATTTATTAACATTAACTGTCATATTGAAATGGCTGTATGAGCCAACATAAAAATTATTCCAAAACCTTCAAATGTCTAAATTTTGGAAGCATATGAATAGAAGTTAAACCTCAAAGACATTCACAGAATTGATTTAATGGTTTGTTCTGTAATGATCAACATTACCCTCGGGTCTAATAAGTAAACATTCTGCTCTGTTGTGGTGATGAACTAAAACAATTGTCTAATGTTAGCAGTGCAGTGGGGGTGGGGACAAGGTTGACCTTTTTCATCAAGGAAAAATAAAAGTATTTCTCTCTCATCTCTATTTTGGAGTGTGATTCTGCATTCCTAATTTTCCCCAAACTCCAACTGGCTTCCAGCATACAAGGAATGTCTAACTGGACACAGGGTGGCAAGCTGCAGATTTTGTATGCAGTATATTGTTACTGATAGTGGTGGGAAATAAAACATTTCATGGTGTTTGTATTATCAGAAGGTTGTATTTCATGGTTGTGATTTCACCACTGGGTGATCTGGCCTATTTGGCAACAGGCTACATTTTATTCTGATTGTTTGAGTCACTTCTGATGTGTTTCTCTGACTGTTTTTCCCAAGATGTTAGGATAATGTTAACCCCAAAACTATCAGGATGACTGTTAACCTTCTGTTCCTTCTGATTGTTTTCTACATCCACTTGTGTTTTAATCAATTTGGAAGTTCTTTAGTGAAAAGACCATCTCTCTGCTTTTATTTTACATATTGCATACCATAACAGGACTCTCATACCCACTGGGGCACTGTCATAGAAAAACATATTGGTAATGGAAAGAAATATTGTACGTGAATTTTTTATTTTCAACTAACTTTCATGAGACATCTTTAATTGCAGATAATGTCATGGAAAACTCCACCTTAGAGGTTCGGGTAAGAGGTTTAGTTTTCATTTACCTTATCACAACATTAGCAGAATTAATTGATGCAAATACAATTTTGCAACTCGTGGTTCACTAATAAATTTCCTATACATATTAGGCTTTATAAAATCTACCTGAAATGGCTGCTGCAGTAAAAGTATAGACCCCAAAACCACCAAGCAATTTAAGTATATGAATAGATCTAGGCACATAAAGCATTTCACTGGAGCCATAGGTCAGACCTTCTCATCCACTGCCCTGATTTGATATAATTTTTCTCATTTACCTGAAGGCCTGCTTACACCATTTTGGCATTGCAAGGAGGTTTTACATTTGTGCAATTAGCACTTAATGTCCTTTTACCTTGCTTTGTTGGTGTAACTGGTTATGAATACAAATTAGGTCCTGCCTCCTTATTTAAAAAATATCCATATAGACAATATAAGCTACATTATTAATAGTATTATTTGGTTTGGCTCCCACCATATCTAGTGAAATTTTACAGCAAATTATTGTCTGGCAGGCTCAAACGGTAAACACATAACATGGAAAATGTCCTCACTAAAACCATGTCCTGGAGTTAATTAAACTGATCACTTTTTTAAAAAGGGGAATAGCTTTCCCATTTTAGTCAAACACTCTGAGAGTTAGGCACCAGACATTCATTTTAATTTTACATATGGAGTTAATCTACAAAGAGTCATGTGTTGATTTATATCCAGACCTTCAAAAAAGGCTATCTAATGGCCTACATGTGATTATATTTCCGTTGCCTCTTACAATGTCTGAAGACAATAACATCTCTTTTTGGTATACAAATACATTCATACAATAGTCCAGTCTTTTAACTCTGGCTTACAAAGCTAAATATTTGTCTGCCTGACAGTTCCTCTGTCTCTTAAAATATTGTAAAAAATACAGCTTTTAAGCAGTTCTTTAAACTTCCACATTATTATTATTGTTATTGTTATTATTGTTATTATTAATAATATTATTATTATTGTTATTGTTATTATTTTTATTATTATCATCATCATCATCATCTTTAAAGGATTTGAAATAAACTTACTAGTCTGCCTTTATGTGGCCTTTTCCTTCTGGGTCGAAAGTCTTAAAAGCATTCAGAATGGTTTCTTCTGGGTCCGTGCCTAAAATTAATGAAATATAATTTAGAAGCCTGGATGTATTTCTATAGCTGCCGAATACTTGCTAAGTAATTGCATTCACTTGAAAACAGTGCAAAATGGAGAATTCTGCAGTTGTAGATTTGAAGACAAAGGTTCCTTAAGTCAGCAGCATTTGTCATGTCAGATAAACAATAGAGGTGAATAGTTCAATGCTCAGAAGCTTAAAAATAATAACTCATATCTATTCTATGTCTGCAGGAGAGAAAACTTCCAGGAACTGGTCTCCAATATCAGTACCCAGAGGATTAGTGGCTTTCAGAAATGAAAATATAACAAACTGTTTTCCTCACTGGCTTCCTTTAATCTTGTACTGTACATTCCTTGTAAAAACAGTTTTTGATGTTACTTGTTCTTTACTATATAGAAAGGTTGTTATTTCCTTCACCAAAGGAAATGGAGCTCATCATAAAATCAGAATGTCAATGGAACGCAATGGAAACAGGATGATCAATGTAAAATGGTGATCTGCACTTAGGTTCCGTAGTGTGCTTCCACTTAAGTATCTCCTTATTAAGTGTTACTTATAGAAACAGGATGGTTTAAAGCACTAGGCTATGGCTCCAAGATTTTGCTTCTGCTCTTAGCTGGGCCCCAGACTTTTGCTATGACTTCAATTTCCCTGATCTTCTGTTCCCAGCAGTAAAATGATAGTAATAGTCTTCCTTTTCTTCCATCCTTTATCTGTCCCATCTATTTAGACTGGAAAAAAATTGGGTCAGGGACTAGATTTCTCAGTGCCTTAATCTTGGCTGGGGTTTCTGATTATTCTGTAATACTGCAGATTCTGAGTATACTCACTCACAGTCAGTTTCAACCCACACCAAAGGATACACTATATGCTCTGTTTCTGACTATCCCCCAGTATTTCAAAATATTACAGTAGTATATAGAACACAAATCATTATTTATAACTGCAGGATGCCAAATTTATAAGCAGGTAGGCTGACCCATGGACAAATTAAGCTATTTGGGATGCTAAAATGTTGAAAATATTATTTAAAAAAAGGTAATAACATGGAGAATTGCAGTTTCAAAGTTTGTTTCAAAGTTTGGCAGAGATGGAACCAGAATAGAATCCAGTCAAGGATCCCTGCTCTGATAACTACATACACTTCTGATGTCTTCTCAGTTTTCTTTTCTTAAAAGGTTTCACAAGGATTAGTAGTAGTATCTTAGTGGATATAAGAGTAAATAAACCTAAGGCTATATGGCGTCCTTCTTGTCACACACTGGTCATGTGTATTTTTTTTGTGAAGCTGTAGGCAATGTATTCAAACTGCAATGAATATATGATCAATACAAAGAGCATTGGTATTTAGTGAGTGTTTCGATTGTCCCATGAAGAGAAACATCTTCCAGCACTGAGAAAAGGTTTGCATTTTAAGTAGTCACCACTGTGTGGGGGATTTTTTTCTTTACTGTGTTTTACATTTTCTACTCTGTCATATCCTTGGACTTTGGCTTTGAAGAGAAGCAATGCAGCAGGCATTCTTTATTGATTAGCTGGTAAATAAAGTGGTTTCTTTGATGTGCGGCATCTCTGTTTTCTGGACAAATTGTATTATTCTGACTCCCTGTAGAAACAGCTCCATGTGGTTGGCATTAACATAACCCGAGTTTTGTTAGCTGTTCATCTGGCATCATAATCTCAATATATAAAGCTAAAGCTCATCCTGAAAATCCCAGCTTCCCCTTTATGACAGAAATCAATTATAGCACAACAAATTTTACTTAGAAAGCACCTTTCACCAAATTCTCTGAGTGGTACTTAGCTAATAAAGAGTGTTGCAAAATTGCCATATCCACTTCCTCTAGCCCTTTCTCCCTTTCTAATTGCACTACAAAGGCTCTTCATCCCAATTAGTTTTGATTGGGAATGTGCAGTCTTTTGGCTCTGCTTCCTTTGCATGACAAACCCAACCAGAAGGGCATGACAAGCACAGCTGTGATTTTCCCTTCACCAAATGGAAATTAAAAAAACCCTTCTCCTCTGCTAGTAGCCAACAGGAAACCTGCAGACAAGAGGGGTATGCGTTACCATTCACCTTCCTGTGCTGGCTCTGGATTTAGGCCACACAATTGGCAGGGCCAGACTCCTTGCCAGCTTCAGCAATTGTAAGAGACAAGAGGGAAGAAGGGAAAGGAAGAAGAGCTCATTTCCATGCTCTATGTGATCATAAGCATGACAAATAGACAGGAAAGGGTAGCAGGGCACCCCACAAGAAACAGTCACGTATCCCAGAAGGAAGATTATGGAGAAGGGCACTACCTTCTCTGCAAGATGACATCGCGAACGTAAAGGTGAAGGGACTGCTGTGATCAAGACAGATCGATGTCTGGGCAATAAAATTCCCTTCTCAGTGTCAGTCTACAGCCTTCTCCACCACCTCTTATGCTTCCCAGACATGCTGTGTTCCTTAGCAAGAGTGTATTTCTTTGAGGACTAGCTACATTAATTCTTTCTTTCAGTCCTCTCTATTTTCTACTCCAAGCATAGAAAGCCCTTTACTGAAATTGTGCTCAGCAATATAAAGCCAGAGCCCAGCAGCAATGCAATAAATGTTTTTAAGAAGATGGGATCAGAGTTTTCCATTTTCCTGTTCATTAGTTATTTTAACAAACTTCTGGAATGTGCTTGGCTAAGGTCAACCTTACTTTGAAGGTCAAGGCCTTCACCTATCTGTAATGCATATAGGAAGATGACTAGGGGTTTCTCTTGGTCTCATGTGCTCCCTCTTGCAGTTTCTAGCCATTAACAGTATAAAAGATACAACTAAATTACTAGCTCCCACAACAAATTCAGTACCTACATTTTCTGAACCCCCTACAGTGATCCCTATATATTCTGTGTCAATGGCCAAAATCCCTCTCCCTTATCGCTGTAAATCCACTGAGATTAAAGTATTTCAATTCATCCAGTCTATTAAGAGTTATTCAGCAAAATCTTTAGCCAATGACAAAATCACTGTTGACCTCAAGTGAAACAAAGGCTGGGCACTGGTTTACAACTAATACAGCAAATGAGAGAAGGCCGTGTTGCTCCTTCATGCCTTATAACTGCAAAGACAAGGCAGAGGTCATGTTTGCATAATGAGCCAGAGGACTGCAGTAAGTTTTTTTTGTGTAAATACTGAAAATACTTTTAAACCAGCTAACACTGGAAGTGATACCACTATAGCAAGGGCAACAGACTTCAGCCTAGGAACCTACTGACGGTGAATAACTCATCTGCACTGTGCTCCAGGCTGCTGTGATTTCATTACTTTCTGGACCTCAACTTAACACTTTCATGTTAGCTTATGTAAGCTGAAATCACATCTTTGAATTGTCCTCTGGACCGTCCCTTAGCCTTTTCATACTTCAACTCTGTCTGTAAAAATGGAGATCACTCCTTGCCTTTAAGCATTGTTCTGTGGATACATTATTATAATTTGCAAGGTGCTGAGATATTTCAGTGCTGAGGATCTTTGACAGATACCTCTCCAACACCCCAAAGGTACTTACCTTTCAGCTTTTCCCCAAACATAGTAAGGAAGACAGTGAAGTTAATAGGACCTGGCGCCTCCTTTACCATGTCTTCAAGCTCTTCATTCTTGACATTCAGACGACCTGCAGCAGAGATCATTTTTCATAATAAATCACAAATTGTGTTTCAAAAAATGATTCCCATTCACCTCCTCCCACTGGGGAGCTCAGAGCTCTGTGCAACTTTGCTAATAACATGGTAGAACACAACTCCAGAATACCCCAGTGTAAAACAAATTGGCGGAGCTGGCTCTAAGATCAAAGAGTGACTGAAGGAGTAAGAAGGATAAATAATACAGACATGGCCAGCAGTGGACGAAAGAAGGGGCACTTCTAAATAAACTCTTTTTCTTTCTTTTTTTTTTTTTTTTTTTTATCCTCAGGTGAAATATGGGTCTCACAGATATTAATATAGCAGAGTTCAAAGTGACTGAAGTGAATCCAAGGTCTCAGTCTTTGCCCTCCTGTATATTGAGATGCCTTTCTGAGTAGAGGGCAGATGGATGAGTTGAACAGTCATATCCCTTCTCCATCCCTGTGCAGTTCCATCCCTTCCCCATGCTTGTGCAGTCCTATTGATGAGAATTTAGACCCTGGCAACCCTACACAAATTGAGTGGTAATCTGCTGTGACTGTACTTTATAAGCATTGAAGGGCTTCGCTGAACAGGAAAGATACCAGAACTTGGCCTCAAGTAATAAATATTTCAGGGTAACAGTAGCTACAGGCCAAAGTTTGCAAACCTCGTTGTCACAATAAAGAGTTCAGGAGCTTCTGCTCTTTGCACTGACTCTGCTGGCGTCTGATTCCACCTCAGGGAGCACTAAAGATTCTTATCAAACTCTTTTTAATAAGATCCAGATGGCAAAAGCCCAAATGCCTACATCACTATTCAAGCCTCCAATGTTGCAACAAGGATACAACTCCTGGTTTGGGATCATGAGCATTTTGACTTTTCCTTTCCTTGGGAAGATGTGCTTTATTCTGCTTGATATTATTAGGATTGTGATGCGTGTGGAATGGACAATACCTAATCCCATGACATGCACATTCCATCCCACATAAATGCACAAGAGCACAGAACCTCACATGATGTCCTCCTACTTTTGTGTGGGCTGAGGGACAGCTAGTCCATGACAACAATATTAATTGGTAGATATTGCATGGCTCCTAGATGAAAAAGGTGCAGCCTGTGAAGCCTGGATTCAGAGGCAAATCAGAAATGCCTGGCATGGACCCCTGCTTGGGTGGGCTTTTTATGAAATAGTTGCAGGGGAGGGATCAGTGCCCTTGGAGACTTGCCAGCCGCACAGCTCTGTTGCACCCGCCAGTGAGTCCCAGAGAGACCTTCATTTTGATTCTTAAATAGGCTGCTCAGGAGACTTTCCAGCTGGAGCTATGCAAGAAGACAGCAACTACCATAAAGGAAGAAGATCAAACTGAGCAGGTTTCCTTTTGCCTCCTGTGTATCTCATTACTTCCCCCACTGTAATTCTAATACAAACTTTTCTTATGTGTTTGAAATTTAAACTGTGTTTCTGTTAAGTATTTAATTATTACTACCAGTTTACCTAGTGCAGCAAATGTGTCTCTCAAGTCTGCTTTGTCAATGAAGCCGTCCCTGTTCTGATCCATGATGGTGAAAGCCTATTGGAAGAAAAAGGAAAATTTCTTGCCATTACCATGTTGCACTGGACAGTGCTACAGTCACACATACCAGTGGGGGGGGTATTATATTCATGCTGCAAAAAAGAATATTTAACTTCCTTTGATTCATCCACATCATGCCACATCATTGCACTTTCCTCACTTTCAACACATTACTGTATCTTGGCAAGGGGCTTAATTAAACCCACCCAAACTTCTTCTTACTAAATTAATGCTCAGTGCAGCGTGTAGCTGGGCTAAAGCCAATGCTGGCAGCTCCAGCCATTCAGGCCTTAACCCATAAAAGTTTGAATTAGGGAGGCTCTAGTTAGGGAGGGTTCAGTCAGTAGTTACTCTGTGTGTTTTGTACCTTTCTCATGCCTCATTCCTTTGTGCATCTATCATATTCTGTAAAACATTTAATTACTGTAGATATCTCTCTGCTATCAAGCAAAAGTCAATTTTTTCTGGGCCTTAAAATGATCTATCATAATAAGATAGCTGAATTTTCAAAGGTACAGAGAAATGTAGGATTCATAATATTATTTATTCAAAGTTTGTTTCCCTTTCCAATAAATTGTATCCTTCAGACTGTACTCTGTGCTCTGACTGACCTTGATGTGTTGACCTTAAAAACTTCTTGTCAGGCAAAATTTAACTTTTGATAGGAAAAAAACAGTTTTCTATTTTCAGCCAAGAAGAATTTATGTACTCTAACTATTATTTACCAAGCCAGCTAACTGTATATCTATCTATTTACCCATTTGCATGCCTGCCTATTCACTGCCATCGCACTTCTAATGTTTCACTGATTTAGAAATATTTTAGTGACCTGAAATTCCCCTGTTCATACTGTGGGGTATATTGGCAGAACCAGGCATGTCTCTGAAGCTGGTTATCTGCCTGACATGCACATCAATATGGGAGTGTATCTTTACAATGACCAGGAATTATTCTTACTTTAGTATTATTACAAAAGACAACATTCTCTTGAGAATACAGCTAGTCCATTGCAGCTACAGTAACTTGCAGTGTTAAAGTCTACTGCTCTACAGGGTGCACTTCTTTCCATGATTGTATTATATCAACATATCTTCATATAGTTTTACCTCCGGTTTCTCACAAAGCCCCACTGCTCACATTCCAGTTTGCCCATGTGATTACTTGCAGCATGCATGTTCATAACCCTTCATTTACCTGCCAAGCCATCACCTTATAAAAAATTAAGACTGACTCTTTAGAGTTGCTTTCCCTTCTTTTGGGAGGGTTTTCTTTAAATGGTGATCCCCACAATTTGGAAGCAAAACAGAAGAAAATATGAAGAGCAAAGCAGAGCCCAGCGAACTCACAGAAGAGGGGAAGAGTGTCAGGTATGTATTGTAATGGGTGAACTTAAAATAGCATCATAACAGCAATGTTGAAACATTTTCTGGTGAGATGGTTGAAATCTCTAGATTAAAATGTTCTGATCAAAACTGGCTTTTCAGAAATACTTGTCCCAAGTATGCAGTTTTTAGACACAACGTGGTGTTGGTTTTCACTGGACTACTCCAATGCCTCATGCTTTTGCTGTTATTCTGCCACCATCCTCCCAGAAATGCTCCTAGTGTTATCTTACTTAGAGTAGATCAAATATAGCATTCTGACCAGCTCTTCTTTTTGTTAGTACATCTTCAAACAGTAGTCCTTGGAGAAAACAAAACTGGAGGTTCATAGGATACTGAGAAGAGGTGGGAGAAGAGTGTTAAATGTGTTCCCATTAACTGTGGGGAAAAGGTTAGTAGTTTCAGTTCATTTACCTGGGACATATTCACAATCCTTTTCATGGGTTTTTAGTCTCATTCATCACTGAGCTTTACCGGTGGAAATCCTCATGAAAAGTGAAGTTGAAAGCCACATGCACAAAATGAAACAGTAGCTATTTATCACATTAGAAATTGCTTTGGAGATGTGTGTTAGCAAAAAATAGTGGGAAAAAAAAAAAAAAAGTTAAAATGGCAAAACAGCACAAATTGTGATGGCCTCACAGACACTCAAGAATGTCCACTCAAAAAAAGAGCATAAACTCATTAAACAAATTATCTGTCTTTAATATGCTTCAGCTTTTACATCAGCCCATTAGATTTACATCTTTGCAAGTAACTGGTCAACAAATCTACAATGCATGGTAATACCAAATTCTCTGGGAGCTAAAAGGTGCTTACTTAGTTAATCTCAACATGTTGTTTTGTTTATTGGCATTTATGGAGAAAGTTGGCTGAGGACTTCTTAGTATTTTTGTTTCTAGCTTGTGGCCAGTATTAGAAGGGCACAGAAGAATATTTTCTATTGCTGTTGTGGATCAGTCCACTAATTAAAGCCCTGGTTCAATAAGGCATCTCTATTCAGGATAATACTTGAGCATGTAAGACTATTCTTATTTAAAACACCACTTAAACTTAACTTTAAACATGTGTTCAAGTGTTTTCCTGAATCAGGGTTAAAGTGGATGAGATGATAGTTTTCCTTTATTTTGGGGCAGGGGTGTGGGGGCTTTTCAAATAAGTCTAGAGCTTGAAACAGGAGAGTGAGGGAGGGACAGAAAGAAGGAAAGAAGGAATGAAAGAAATAATGAAGGAAAGAACAAACAAACACACAAGGAAAATTATATGCCAGCCAAAACCACAGAGATGATTCAGAAAACAACTGTGTGTTCTATTAAAGCAGATGGAGAATTGAATAAGGATTACAAACAAAACCTATGTTATTCATTAGCAATGACAGGAGACTATAGAGAACAGCAGAGTGGTGACCAACCTCTTTGAACTCCTGGATCTGGGTTTGTTCAAACATAGAGAATACATTGGAACCACCTTCTATCTTCTTCTTTGCCTTTTTTGGAGGCTGTAATACAAATAAGAAGATAAAATATATATTACTTTCTCTGTTAAGCACCCATGAAAGCAAATTCAATCTTTAACAGAAGGTAAAAAATATATACAGTCAAGTAATACAAGAGGATTGTGTTTTGTTATGACAAGGTTTTTAATTCAATCTTATATATATATATATATATAAATGGGATAAAAAAGGCTGCTGTAGTAACAGATGAATCTCTCGCTGAGGCTTTTTGCTGTTCCCTTGCTCTGGCCTGGAACCTGACAGCTCAGATAAACAAAGACAGCTTGTTACTCTTCTGCCTTAAAAAAGGTGAGGGGCACAAGCATGCCTCTGAATATTTCAGCTTGTCCACTGCTTGTTTCCCCAAGGAACCGCCTGTTCCTTGGGTAGAGTCACCTATGCCAGCGCATTTGATGCAGGATACTACTCCCCTTTCTCTATTGGCTTTTCAGAGCTCTGTGCTAGAGGAGGAGCGATGTAAGCCTATAGTCTCACTTGGAAATGTAAGCTAAAATTCCCAACCTGCTGTTCTCAAGAAATACAAGCAATTTGTGTAAGTGTCTACAGGTATTCCTTCTTCCCAGTTCCCTTGCAGGGACAGGCAGCCAGACACAAAATGAGGCCCTGCGTGAAGACTCAGTTCAGGAACTAGAAGGGGAAATTATATCATTTCCCACTCACACAGAAATGTTCAGAAGTCTGCTCTGTCTGGACCAACACTAACTGAACAGATTCTTCCCATGTAGGAACACCTTCTACACTTGGAGGACAGTTTATATTCTTGCACCAACCTATGATACTACACTTCATTGCCTTGCTAGCCCCTATAATTTTAATATTCAAGATAGCCATCTCAAATAAAAGGGTGGGCCCGCTTTTATCACTATTCTGTAGTCTGAAGACTGAGCCAGAGAAAGATTGGGGAAAGAGCTAATATGATATCTAATGCTCACTAAAAATCATTCAGAACTAGACTTCATTATATATCTCTGAATAAGGGCCCAGCCATCTTGCCTAAGACGATACTGTTCTTGTTCTGCAGTAAAGAATAAAATCTGTGATTCCTAAGGATTACAGAAATGTTTTAACCACAGCATTATCCTTACTTGGCGCAGGATAATGAGCTACATCACCTCTTGAGTTCCCTTCCAGACAGATTATTTTTTTCTTTATCATTTTTACTTTTAAACATCATCATAGTCCCACCTGGTTCTCATGTCATGGAAAATTAGTCTTACTTAGTTTGGGCTATTCTGCATGAAACAGAAGGCAACTTCAGCTGTCTCCTTTCATCAAAATAAAAAAGCCTGTGAAAGTTCAAATTCAATACTGATTTCAAATATCCTGAGGAGCAGAGCAGCTCAAGGAAATATTCCCACTTGACTCTGTTTGAAGTATACCTTCTCTGATCAATTTAATTTACCAGGCAGATTTCCACACACAGCCACCCTGGTTTAGATCCCAGGTTGAAAATTAGGGTCATGGTAGACACTCCCCTACATACCCACACTCCAGACCTGTCAAGCCCCAATCAGCTAATGCAAAGCACTAAAATCTGGAAATAGGAATGGAAATTAAAAGAAAAAAGTATTTGTAGTGAGGATAAAAACAAGGATAGAATGCCACCACAGGCATGGAAAAAAAAAAGCGAATAAGTGGAATGTTTAATGAATGTAGAAATATTGATTTTGGAATAAACAGATTCCCTCCTCCTCCTCCACATGAAATAAGTGTTATTTTGAGCAGTAATGGGCAATCTTCCATGTAACGTGAGGTGTCTGGTGGAGGTTTTCAACACTTCCAGATCGAATGGAAATATTAAGAACAATCCTATGTATTTACATGTATTTGTTCCCTGCAGTAAAAAGAAAGCAGATGTTACCCAGCAGAATGTATTGCGAGCTGTCTGGGGGAACTGACCACAGGGCACCATGCTGGCCTCCGTGTTTTCAGACGGGGTAGTGGAACTGGTTCTCCTGTGCTCGGGTAACTGGTCTTTATGAAGACAAAACATGTTTTACCGTTCTCATGCTCTGCTCTGCTGTGACCAAACACAGCATCCATATTCAGCATGATGAATAGTCCCCACACCAGCAAACAATCTGCATCTTTTTAAGCTAGTACTGCAATGAGGGACAGTGGGCTGCAGCTCCAGATTTTATTAAGATTAAATGACAACACTGGCAATACCTCCATTATTCCCCAGTTTAATGGGTTCTCTATGCTGTAAGGCTTTAAGCAAGGATTGTAGCTATAAGAAAGGATCAGATAAACCCAAAAGCTCTGGCTCAGTATCCATTAGAAACAGACCAGCAACACAAAAAAACACCCAAAAGTTTCTTTCCATTAAGGAAGTCTTAGTCAAGGCAAAAAATATTGAAGACTAGTTATCCAGAGAACAATCACTATACTAGGAGAAATTCATCCTGGCATGATATTTGTTCTTTGTTACTCTCTGTTTAGTCATCTTCAGGCATGATAAAGGAGATCGGTGCCCACGTCGCTCAATCTATCTTTAGTTTTCCTGCTGAAGCTCTGGGTATGAATCCTATTTATGATCTGCTCACTTGTGGAATGGGGCTGAGACCACCAATACATTTCACAGGGGCCAATGAACAGCTGTTGGATGGGAATGGCTTTCCATCACCAGTTTCAAGCTAAGCCTTTTGGCATCAAACGTATAGAGCGGTTTGGATTATCAGTCTCTTGGTTTTTGCATACACAGTATTGGGAACATAACTTATCTGCTCTGAAAGGCCAGGAAATGCATAATCACAGAAAGAAACTGCACCTTGATTTTGCATGACTGGTGGGTAGGCAGGCACTATGAAGAGGAAGGCTGAGAGATAAGTAAGTGGAGCAGGAACAGAACACAGTACATTGTCACTGCCTTTCTGGTGGATAAGTCAAATTAAAAGGCAGCTCTAGGAGAACAGAAATAGGACTGTGCTGCTGTCTGGCAACTCCAAACACTCCAGAATTTTTTAATTAATAGAATCAGGACTCTCACTCTGGAGTATCTCTGAAAGAATGGCATAGTAAAAAGAACAATACAGAACTGAGCAAACATACGGTTTCTAAACTGTCAAGGATTTAGTAGGTGACCTACAGAGGAGCAAGTAGGTGACTGACACATCACTTCTGTCTGCCTTGATTTCCCCATTTGTAAAATGTAAAGTGAGCCAAGCTGCACTTTGCAAAGATAGCTGCTCTATCTTTGCAACATGTGCTTTGAGACTGACATACAAAACGTGCCAGATGAGAAACTGAAGAGCTGAGGATCCCCTGGGCTTGGATTCCAAGGCCTCAATAGCACAGCAGTGGGAAGAATGTTGCAACAACTGAACAAGCCTATTAATATTCCTGCCTGAGTGTATTAATCATTCTATTGTGAAGAAAACAAAACTTCACTTTAGAAGAGAAACCACAGGCTTGTCGCATATCACTCGTTTGTCTTACTAGTGTTAGCACTCTCTCAATTAGTCTGGATTTTAAAGGGTCTTTTTTGATTTTTTTTTTGTTTGTTTGGTTGGTTGGTTTTGGTTTATTTTAGAAGCTTTAAATGGAAAAAATGGGGCCATACCAAAATCTGGTCCCAAGAAAACTCTGTTGAACCTGGCATTTGCTTTGAGCCTAGTTTCCCTCATTGAGGTTCTTTATATTTCTCCTCTCTGGCAGTGTCAGGGAGCCAGAAAGAAGGACAGGACAGTAACACAGACAGGAAGAAACAATGAGTGTGTGCTGCTTTTGCTTCTTTGGTTATAAGAACAGAGATTCCTTTTATGTACATTGTGGAGGGGGATGTATGTTCGAGTGAATCAGAGTGAAGAAATAGCTGATTTCAGGGTGAACCAAGAGAAAAAGGGAATCAGTTTATATCTCTACATGCAAAGGAGGAAGGAGCTGAAAATACTTAGTTCTTACTTCAGAACATGAGGCGTTTTTTACCCTGATAAATTCATAAAAGGCTGGTGCTAGGACAGGTTCATGACACCAGAGACACAAAGGAAGTGACACTGGATTATTGCAGAACTTTATCATCTCAGTCCTTCAGTGAATTCTGCAGACAACCCAGAAAAGTATGGTAAAACAGACAAGTTGCAGCAAGAGAAGCAGAGGTACAGCTCCATTACTGGCGCTACTCCTCACTATCTGCTCAGGTGCACAATTCTACCCTTTGGTAAGCATGAAGTAACGAAACTCTACCCATCATTTTCTGCAGAGCAAGAATGTCTCCACAGGCAGAGAGGCAAAATGGGCAGCACTCTGCCAGAAGCCACATTGTTGGTTTGGCTTGGGAAGGTCAGTCCCCTGTTTGGTCCACCATGCCTTAAAACACTCAGAAAATAATCTAAATAACTGAAGATGACACAATTTGATATTCCTGACAGCTAAAGTTAAAATACAAGCAGAAACACTTCCCCACTCAGCAACTTACTGTGTCTTCTTTTAATTTTTTACCAGAGAAGACACCGATGGATAAGCAGGTCTCCTGGGAGAGAGGCCTTCAGAGAAAAACAGTGGTGCACACTATTAAGAGCCTGATTCTGTTGTCTTGTACCCTTATGTGTTCATTCAGCCCAGGGCAAAATAGACGTAAGATACTACCAGCTTTAAATTGCACTGTTTCACATTTTATACTTCCTTCCTCTGCAACTATGTCCGTGACTACAGACAAGACAGAATCATCCATCATCTCAGATCCTGTCCCCTACTGTGATCCATAGTATGATGTTAACTCTGAGTTACTATTACTTTTTCCTCCATCACACTCTCTCCTTGTTTTTCATCCACTCTGGAACTCAGTGCTGACATTTCCTGTCTTTGAATTTTTGTTATCATTGAATCCAGTTTCTAAATCAGAAGTTATATCTCAGTCCCATCCAAGGGATTTTTGCAGCACTGGACAGGATTTTTGTTGATTATTGTCTCACAAGTTTGCTCTGCTGAGACAATTTACACTGCATCTGCACCAGATATCCCAGCTATGGACAAGCCACCCTTTTTTAGCATGGTTTAGATCCTTTTCATGGCAGGTGAGCAGCATAAGGCCAGCCCAAGTGCATGCCTTTGAGGGAACAGTCTAGAGGAGTAAGCAACATAAACTGCTCTGAGGGCACAATTTGCATTTCAAACAGGCAACAGCCTCAGATCATTCAAATAAAAACCCACGTTATCAGGTTGGAGAAACAGAAGATCTCTTTATTAACTACTCCACACTCACAAACAGATCCCTCCCTTCTCATCCTCACTCCATTTTATATGTAGTCCCAGACTCCCACACACCCACACAGACACACACACCTTTGATCCCTGCTTAGATACAAAAATCTGTTGGACTGCATCCTCCCTGCTTCACGCTCCCGTACACTAAGGCATTCTCCTTTGCCCCACATAAAATCCCTTCCCAAACACAGCCTCCTTTTTTCTCTTGCACAGACACACAGAGAGAACGCATTATCTCCCAAAACTTAGCTCGGAACAGCAGATAACCTCTCCAACCACAGATTGATCAACCTCATATGACCCAAAGTTCACCAGCCGCTTTCCCCACCCAACCAGTTTTCTTCTCTGTCATGCACATGTCCTCTTTCTCCACGTAAACAAACGAACAGTCCCTGTCTATGTACACAGTCCTCTACACATACATGCGTATGCAGAAGCATACGCGAACACTTCCACAGTTAAACAACTGGCCACGCTTTCAGCTAGTGAAATCAGCACTGCCCCGCTGAAGTCAGTACTTGTTCCAGTACAGGTGGTACATTCCAGACAGTTAAGCAGGCTGCAAAACACATTCGATCAGAATGCAATCTATTTTTGGGTACGCGGTTCCCTTCAGCATACAAAATCTGCTACAAGGTGTCACTTGAACTGAATAAACACAGGAATGTTGTGGGAATAAGAAAAAGGCTTCCCTCTCCTTCCTTCCGTCTCTCTTCTTCCCTTCCTTCTCTCCATCAGCACAGAGCATGTGGGGAGACATCAGAGGCCAAACTTCACTGAAATTCCCGGGAATTAACGGAGAGCTGTAGACAGTTCTCAGAACTCCATTCCACAGCACTTGTGTGGTCTGCTCTTGTTAGAAAAATTATCTCCCTGAACCCTGCCTCTCTCACTCTCATCAGCCCTGTATGTCAGAGCCTAGTAGCACTGGCTGACTTGTAATTATTTTTTACTATGCTGCTTTGTCTGCACTAATCCTTTGAAAGTAGCTTTACTGCACATCTGAAATATTATGATGCTATAAAACCTCTGTAATATTTATAAATCCCTTAAGACATCATAAAGAGAGAAAAAAACCTCCCCACAGAGTTCATCTAGCATAATTACATATACATTTCCCTCTGATTAATAAAAAATGATCACTTCCTTATGTAAAGATATTCTTCAGCTTTCTTTCATTAAGGCTATTTTTTCTTTCCATTTTAAATCTGTTTCATGTGTCCCTGTATAGTAAGGTACCTCAGAATATATTTTCCCAAAACAAAAGGCACAATGAAAAGAACCACCGCAGAGAATTGTCAGTTGAACCGGGAGTGAGGAGACAGAATAGTCTCTCAATGTATTTTCACATCTCCTAACTTAAAAAATTTTACCACAGAATGTCCTGAAATATCTTCAAACATCAAGCAGTTTGGTGTGTCATTGTACTAAACAGGAGGGATGAAATCTGGTAAATAAAATTTGTGAAGAGAGGGGAAAAAAAAAAAACTAAGACCCTGCACTTGTCCCCCACCCCATGAAAGCGCTGGCTTAGACTTTAGTGAAGCTGATTGAAGGGAAACCTGTAAATCCACAACCGAAGAGGCATAATCAGCACAAGGTACTGCTCACTTCTGAAACAGTGGTGAAGAACATGATTAGTGCTTGCGTGCTCAGTGTGAAACCACTGACACTGGGCTTGCACTGACTGAAACTGGAACCTAGTTTTGTGCATGGATTTTAGAAATTACTTTGAATGTGGTTTTATCCTGCTCAGAGCAGCACTTGGATCACATTCATCACCTGCTTAAATGGGATCAGGCTTGAATTAAGCTTTGAGAAAGCTTTTCATATACAATTCCCTCTCCAGTGTTTTCCCGAATGAAATATTCCATAGCCCCAGGGAGCCACTGGGCAGCGTTACTTTAAGACAGCCTGAAAAGGACCTGCAAAAGGGAGAAAAATAAGGAAAATCACCAGCATTTTTTTTTTTTTTTTTTTTTTTTTTTTAGTTTTGTAGTCATTCCTCTGAATTTACAGAAGACGAAGATAGAGCCCAATCTGCCCACTGTTCCTTAGGCAGTTCTTCTTTGCTCCTTGGAATCACATCAAGTGCACCTTCGGTTCAGAGGTGGCTGTTGGAGTCCCAGAGCTAAAAGCCAACAGTGAGCAGGGCAAAGACACAGAAATTGCTGCAGTACTTCCTACTTCCCCCCACAGTCCCAAGAGAAACACGGTCAGGATTATAGAGATATCCCTTTCCCTCACTCCCCATCACACCATAGCAGACCGTAGCACTAATTAACACCAGCCGTGCCAGTTATTGCTGCCCTGGTGTATTAGTCTTGGAAACAGATGCGTGAGCTCTTCCCCTCAGCAAGTGCATCTATGTTCCCTACCTTACTCATTTGTTAAACACATGCAGAAAAATCCTTGGAAGTTCACAGCTCACTCTATGGGATATATCTTCATTCTGGATGTGATACTAAGTATGAGATTTCAGGGGGTCCAGTGTGATCACTACTGCTCTGCTTGAACTGTTAGAGTCAGAAAGAAATACAAATGGCGATAAACAAACAGACATGGGAAAGAACAAAACCTACCATATTGCTGCTGCTCCTTCCACCCCTTCTCTGCCAACTAGTCAGCCAGCAAACACAATGCCAATTCTCTCTTTATATAGTGTCACCAAGGAATAAAAATATGCCTGCTCCAAGTTTAGACAATAGATGTAAGGTTGGAAAAGTGCAGTAATTGGATCCCAATACCATTCCAAGCATCTGTTCCATGTGTGGCTTTTGCTTTCACAGAAATAATGCAGTAGATAAGTAGCGTAGGCAGTTGGGACACAATTGTTCAGCACGCACAATAAGCTAGAGCTGAAGGGGCTTTCCCATGTACTTCTAAATAACGAACACAGGGCATGCACTAAAAAGATTTTAAGTGGACATGGCATCCTGAAAAAGCAGAGAGAAACATACTCCTTGAGCAAATGCAGAGGAAACTAGCAATAAATCTGGGTCACTGAGATGTCTGGTAGCTCCAGAGTCTGGTGCATGCATTCAGAGCTCCAGAAAAATGACTGAGGTTCGGTATAGGTGCACCTATAGATTCTGGGAGGTATGCTGAAAAAGCACTGCTCTGCAGATGCCAATAAGGTGACATAGATCAAGCCTGTTTTCCCTGAATGTATCACACATGCCTGAAGTCTAGGGGCCAGATCTCAAGCTACTGCAAATTGATGTGGACTCATGGACTTCAAAGCATGAAAAAAGAGATGTGTAGTAATGAATATGGTGTTGAGAGCCGGAGAAAACAGAAAGCAGGATAGGAATCACAAGGGCTGTGTCCCCCGGGGAACGTTCACGGACATTAATGCACACACATTCCATCCGATCATAAATCATGTTTGGCATTATCACAATGGGCCAAAACATTAACCAGCACAAAGTGGCGTAATTCCGCAGACATGAAATCATATTTCCTAAAGGTCTAATTTGTGTCTGTGAGAGTATCTATACAGGAACACCGCTGCATTAAAATCAGCAGCAACAGTAGGTTTTTCAGGAACATACACTAGCATCTGAAATATTTGTCTACATCAGTCACGCTAACCTTGAGTCACAGAAGTGCTTAACCAATCAACTGAGCTTTGAGACAGACGTACATTTTAGTATCTAGTTGAACAAAGACCTTGTTCCTTCTCCAGGTCCAGCCCCTTGCAGTGCTGTCATCTCTAATCTTAGATATGACTGCATGCTCTTCAGGGCAAGGACTGTTTTAGCTGTTGTGAAGTACCTCGAACACCTACAGGGATAACTAAGTAATAAATAAGCATAATACAATTCAGCTGGCCTTAGCCAAAGTGTCGTGGGTACAAGTTGGAAGTTAGCCTCATGTTCATCATTCTGTCTTCAGAGACATTGTACCAATACCTAGTGTAACACAGCATAAAAATAAATCCCTCAGTCCATTTGCTTGCAACCGCCCACTGGATAGCAGACCCAGGTTTGTATACTAGATTGAGTTTGGCAAGCTGAAAAACTCAGAGTAAGGTTTTTGAGGAAAATCTTACATAATTTCAAAGCTTCATTGTGATAAAGGCTTATCATGTTCACTGGGTTAGATTCAGCATCTGCTTAACTTTAACGTAGAAATAGTCCCACTGAAATCAGTGTAATAGCTCGCCTACTTACCTGGAAGAATGTGGTTACTTGCTTTGCAGGATCAGTGCTCTAACCCTAACAAGACAGCCAAAGGAGCAGCAGCTTTGTCACTGAGTTCGCTGGGCCCAGGATTCCATCCTGTGAATTTTGTGTCCTTTTTTAGAAAAATACTAAACTTTTCATCCAGCCGTTTCATGAGTTTGTCCTAACAGCTCTGTTAACAGAGGTTTTGTACAGTTTCTTTGCGAGTTTTGTTTTCTCTTACCTAGTATATCATCAATCATCATTATTATCATCAATTTGCTCCTTAGTTTCCTAGCTTGATCTGCAGGCATTTTCCGATCATGCATGTATTTTCTACATTGATCTTTGTCATTTCAGAGAATTTCTATATTAAATGAATTCTTCCAAGCTGTTTTTAAATGACATGACATGTTAGGATAAAACTCACACAATACTGTGTGTTTGTAATGCACATGTCCTGAGAGACCAGAACCCTCTCTGCTTAGTCTATAAAACAAATCCACAGAGGAATTAAGGGAGACATACATCTTGGCTTTAAAGGTCTGCTTGCTTCTGCAACTGCCTCCAAATTATAGAAAGGCTCCAGACTGAAGAGGGGAGGGAGGGAAGGGGGGGAATAACATAAGGACTGAAAAAGAAAGGCTTGAATTTAATTGCCCTAAAAATTTCAATCATTCAATCTGGTAATTAGAGAGCTGGCTGATTCAGAAGGCAATTTCATTTGGAAAAAAAAAAAAAAAAAAAAAAGAACCCAACAAGATAATTGATGCTAAGTGAATATTTTACCTGAAATATTAAATACCAAACTTAAGTCTGCCTCCAGGGCCCTTTCTGCTACCCCTTTTTGATCTGTCTTTCTACTTCTTTGTATTTTCCTCTCACATGACTCAACAGAACAGGACACTCCTTCAGAGAATCAGATTGTCGCAGGGACAGGTTTATTTGAACTCTGTGCTGTGAAGGAGACAACATAATGATTTATTAGTGAAGAAAATAATAATAGGAAGTCTCCTGAGATCCTGCCTGGCTGCAAATCTCAGTGAGATTTTTCCAGTGTTGAGTCTCTGTCTGTCTGGCCATAAGCAAGGTTTGATGTCCTACCATGGGTAACAGCTTTCTTTTTGATCTTATCAAGTATAGGGTAACAGCTTTCTTTATGAACTTAACAATACTTACCATAATGTTTCGTGTTTAATTCTGGACTCTCTGATGCTGCAAAATGATACTTAAAGGTAGATCTCTGCAGTCATGCAGAGCACTGTGGATGTCAGTGTCACAGGGGTCTGATTGCACAGATCTCTGCACGGTGGAGAGCAGAGCTGGTTTATTGCACTCTGTTCAGAAGTAGCTGCTAATTCTCTAATATTTAATAACCTAATGAACAAGGACAGCATCTCATACACATCTTAAAGGAATGTTCCATGCCTGGAAATTAAGTAGATATTAATTTATACTACATTTATAGATGGAGAAATTATAAAGAAAATGCATGTGACACACAAAGGGTTCTGATACCATGTGCTGTTCTAACTGCTCATCCATGCGCCTTTTTCACACAAAATGCTAACACTCTATTCCTGTTAGCAATATTAAATTTTAATCTTAAATCACCTTTTTATATGAGATTCCACATCTATTACTGCTCAGGGAGACCACATCAAATGTATTCAGGTGCCTTTGTGACTTCCATCTTTGAGACTGATCATGAAGAGGTTTCTGATCCATACAACATTCACTCTCTGAAAAGATGCACATGACAGGACTTGGTGACAATTCCTGTAGTGAGATGGGATGACAAATGGAATGTGGCCTCTTCTACTAGTTCAGTAGGGACAGAATAAAGCCACTGATGCTGAATATGTTACATAGGAAATATGTAACACGTACCTTTGTAAGTATTCCAGCTATTGCAGACAGAGTTTTAAGATCAACTTTATACCACAACATTACATCACTTCTGCGCACAGGTAGTTTTCTTTCGCATCTCTGAGTGGCATGCCTTCTAAAGAAGACAACTGACAGTTAATCATATTTAGGAACTGAAGCCTTCCATATCCACCCAATAGGTAGGGCCAATCCCTAAACTTTTAGAAGAGATGTATCCCAGCCTTCATACCAGAGGACTCCACTTCCTATGCACTGACCAGGCCTGATCTCTTTGCTGATTCCTGGTTTGGTGCTGAGGGCAAAGACAAGGGCAGTCCTCATCTAAAACCAGGACTCGTGTGAGCCTCACCCTGGCACTCTGCACTCTGGCAAACTGTACCTTGTGGAATTGCCAACTACTGCTGTTCTCTGGCTGTCATCTGTTTTCTCACTGCTATGTGCTCTTAGCATCCTCTAAATCACAGATGTTCATTTATTCTACAGGTGGGGAACTCACTGATTCATCCAAATGTAAACAGGAATTAAAAGCAAAGCAGCAAACTGAAGCATTGTCTTGCAAATCCTGGCAGGTGTGCAAACCACAGATCAGGAGTATAGACCAAGTGCCTCTCAAGTAGGCACTGAAGTGAGAACACCAGCTTACTCCAGCAAATCCACCAGCAAGAACTACCAAGCTGAGGGGAATTTCAAACCTTCCAGAGAAAATTAACAACTTCACTTGAACCACCTACTCTTCCTTAATCACCTTAAGTGAATGAGGAGCTCCCATTCTTTTCAGAGCCAGGATGATTTCCTCTTCCTTTCTCCTGACAGTAGTTTTCTTAGCAGCTGATTAAATCCTTGATACAGAAGATAGGTCGCAGCTCAGAAAGTCCACTGGCTAAGCTTGGTCTGACCACTGTATTTTGGAGCCCGGCAACAAGGCGAGTCTCAGGAAAGTTAGTTTTATGTTCACTGTATGTGGAGCTCCTACAGTTCAGGTACAGAAAAGAAAGAGCTATTACAGATACCTCTGCTGAATTTTAAATAAATTAAACAGTGCAAATCCCACTGAGAATCTTCTCTCTCTGTTGAGCAGAGACACGTACACCTATTTGGAAACATCCAGGGCTGCTGTAACTGTTAATTAAGCTCTGTGCATTTGTTGTTCAGGACATTGAATCCAAACCTCCTTCTCTCCTTCTCTGACTTACCCCTCCCTCTCTGGGAATTCATAGCCACTATCTAATCTGACAGAAACTGTGTTCTCTTTTATACTTGGAGGTCACTTTATGTTACTTACAGTGTGTTGCATTATGTCAAAAGACATAACACAACATAATGAAAAGCAGACTAATATAACTCAACCTGACATCAATGACATAATACGATGTGGCTACTGAAAAATACACTGTTGTCATTGTTTTGTGTTTTCATCCGATACCTGCTTGCTATTCTAGCATGGGGCATTTGTTGCAGAATTTGGAGAAGAAGGTTATGGACTGAGCATGCCTGATTCTGCTGTGAGTCCCATCATTTTTGCACTGAGATCACTTCATTGGCTTTGCTGAGGTTCCTCCTGATTTACTCTAGCAAGAATCAGGCTCTAAAAATTCATCACATAAAATGCAATTACATTAGGAAAACCATCAAGTTAGAAAATGCAGCTCCTGGGAGTAAGGAAATGACAACACTGTTATAGTCCCTGTAACCTTAGCTCTGCCCTCTTGG